AACAACCTCCCCATTGTTTAAAGCTCTGCTTGTCTCAAAATGAAACGCAAGAACTTTTTGTCTGATGACGTCAATTTGTGATGTTACGATATTCTGGTGAGGAAGGATGGATACCCACGTTTGAACTTGTAAGGGTGGTCAGGGGTTCCAGCATCAGCGATTGTCTGCTGAATAAAGTGGCCATTCTCGTCAAGACGGCGGGATGATTATCAACGTCTGTCCTTCACGCACTTTGTCGACGGCAGCGGGGTTGGCGCCCACCACTTGCTACACGCACGCCCTTCACTGAGCTTGAAGGCTCCATGGATGCGGACATCAGAGACAAACCAGCATGTACATTCCGTAGTCAGCTCCCCAACATCCTCCAACTGTTTGAATTCGATTCACACGGTGGTGGTGAATACAAACAGCTAGTCGTCCGCAGCACTCTGGATTCGCCACGCGAATGGTAAGGCCAACTTTTAACTTTTAAGTCTAAGCTTAGTTGATCCATCAATGTGATAGAACTCAATCCACACAACAAGCTCACAAGGCGATGTGGATGGAATATTTTCCGCGGGATAAACCCTGATTCACCTTCACCCCACACCACAAAGGTTGTCAGTTTGTCAGAGAGAGGTGGTTGCATAAGACGCCCAAAGTGAAACGATATTGCATCTCGTGGGGGAAAAAAAGAAGCAGTTTCAGCATTGCTTGGAATATTATTGTGTTATTTTCTAACTGAACACAGCGTTATCCATTCTTTTACTACCGAAATACGATGATGAATGCCATGAAGTGGAAAGCAGCCTAGTATCTTCATGCCGCGCTTTAAAAACGCAACATCAGAAAGCCTCACATCCTTTTTTGACGAAACACTGTCTCTGTGAAGTCTACGTCTATTAATACCTTTTGCCTCCGCAAGGCAAAAAGGCAAGCCAACTCTGAATATCTCCGCTCTAACCTCACTTGTATTGTCCGGCCGTCCATTCTACTCTACTTATGATTGGCTAATGCTAATGCCAAGGAAAGGGAAGACACGTCATCAGAGGAACATGGAGGATAGCGGTAAAGCGGTATTACCCTCCCATCTCAATCTAAATTGAGGCCTTCATATGGGTGAATTTTTCCCCAATTTCCAGGTCTACCTGTGTACCGCTGATGTTGTCTTGTAGAAGATACAACCTCCAACCCCCTGGCATATCAGTCCTTATTGTCTTTGCACATCGCCCTACACCTCTTCTACACCTTCCAAGAGTGTCCACGTCTCGCCAATAATTTATCGGCCCGTTGATACGTGCGCACCATTCCATCTGCAGTCCACAACCACACATGCAAAATGCGGCCTTCGGGGGAGTTGACATGATTCAAAACAAGGAGGAGAAAGAGTAGAGACCCCACGTACTGAAAACCTCGCGAACCTACTTAAGTTCCTGAGATTACCATCCGGAGATAAGTCGAGAAAAGGAAATTCCACTAATTCCCCTCCTGCAAGCCAATTTCACGTATTGTGAAAGTTCCACACAAACGGGAGTGCTTGAAAGTGTGGCGATCTCAGACGTGCTTTCTTTTCTACGCACGGATGGTTTTAAACTGAAGACGAACACAAAGTTGGGTGCTACGAGGATACAGTAAATATTTGTACTTTGGAAGTAAAAGAAAGGTGTTAAACCACGCCTTCTTCTGGGAATTGCATTGACATGCCATTCAAAGCCGATCAGTGAGTAAGAGGCGGTAATGGGATGAAGAAAATTGTGCCTGAAAACGGAGAAGGATTCCATACATACAAAAGGCTTCCCTCAAGGGAAGCATAAGTCGAAGTGGTTAAATAACCGCAAAAGAGCTTCAAAAAAGTGCCTCTACAAAGGCTCATCTCCTTTCCAAATGACACTAACGTATCACACCTTTGATGATCAGCGACTACAAAGAGGAGGATGGTCACTGGATCCCCCCCTCCCCCACCTCCGCAGAAAAAACCAATCAGTAGAAATACAGGCTATTAAAATGTTATTCAAGCTAGAGACCTTCAAAAAGTGGTAGGAGGACAAAGGACCACTGAAACACAGAAGTTCTAGCAGCCACAGTCAAAGGAGACTGATGAGTATGATGACTGGCTACGGAGATAGGTGATGGAGGGTACGAATGGAAGGGTAAACATTCGAGCAGAGACGAGGAGATAAGTCAGGACCCCATTTGAGGTAGAAGAATTTGAAATACTGGAGCCACTTAATCACAAAGCCCTCACATTTTGAGCCCCTATGATGGTGGAAGTGGCAAAGAAACGCACTCACCTCTGTCGTAGGAAAAGTGGAGCATATTTTGCAGGAGGAGGGAGAAAGAGCAAGAGGCGAAAGCGGTAGACAGCAACGCAGAGCGCTGCGCAGAAAGACCACGTAGACGAACGTTTGTGCCAACACTGCGAGGCAGAGGTGCAGGAGCCACAGTCGAAAGGTCTGTACAAGTGGAGAGGGAGGAGAGGTTAGTTGACAGACCGAGGAGCAGTCAGACTACCACTCAAGCAGAAAAAAAAACGCCAGGTTATGTGACATAAAAGTAGCGAGATGGAGGACGAACCAACAGCCATTTGGACAGACACAGAGCAAACCAGCACAAACCCACCTCAGAGAGCAGAAAGTTCCGCAGTTGCTGCGACGCCACAGCCAAAACGAATATCCAGGCAGCATCAACACCAGGTAGGTGCGTCGTCGGTTGGTTCGCGTCTACCCCCGCCTCTGCCTCCTCCGGCCCTCTCAACTGTCGACGATGGAAGAGGAGGGCTGCTGGGGGCAAAATACGTGCGCCTACCGCACTCGATCTCGACGATCCAGGCGTTGCTGACGCCAGTCTAAATAGGGACAACACAGAAGTGGTGTTGCAGGACTCAATGCCACCTCTTGCACCAATATCTGTTCTACTAGCGGGAGCAGCGGCGGAGGTTGAAGACGACCCATAGACACGTTTTGAAGACGTGGAAAGACTGCTACTGGGAGTAGCAGTGGCGGGAGACTGGAAAAAGACGGACCAGAGGATGGATTGGAGATCGACGCCTGCGGTGGAGGAGGCGGAGTAAGAATCGGGTTTCCGGAAGTGTGGAACTGTGGAAGAGGTAGTGGTGGTGGTGGTGGTGGAGGCCAAATCTGGAGGGAGGAAGTGGTCATAACGGTCATCAATCTTCACCTCCAAATTTCTTACTGATCACTAGAGAGAGTTTTGTGGTTGCAAAAAACCTGTGCGTTTTCTTTCTGGCGAACCACTTCAGACGACTTTTAAGTGCGTGCCAAAACAGTCAATTTGCATATTCTAGTTGAAACTCCAACCCTTCTTCCACCCACCTTTCAAACCACCCTCCAACATAAATACTTTGGACGCAAATAATGTCGTCTAAGCAACCCAAATAAAGCTACAGTGTCACCAACAAGAAGAAAAACTACTCCGAATATTGAGGGGAAGCATATGACTCACTACGTGGAGAACGATCCAGGACGACCACACCCCTCTCAGCGAGGATGTGTAGGAGTTTAGTGAGTTGTGCCTCCAGTGCATCGATTCGTTCCTGCTGAAGCAGATCGCGCTCCTCAGCTCCCTTCGCCGTGGCCTTCAACCACGCGGTTGTGAGATTGAAAGACGCGGACAAACGCTCCGTTTGACGCTTATAGCTTTGGCTCAGCTCCTCTAGGTATCTGTCATGGAAAGAGTTATTCAGTTTCCTTTTAGGAACACATCGAGTGGACTTCTACTAGTTGACACATTCCATAAGGAAGAAGGATGAAAGGCACTCTTCCCGAGAGCTATACTGTTATAGTAGCTCCCTTAGGATTAAAAGAGGAACTATGCACGAAACCTCCAGTAGTACTCACAAATCTGTGGATATTTTATAACCAACGACTCTCGTACCTCATACTGACAGAGACGTCCGACTGAAGTTGAAGGACTTTGTTGTTAAGACGCATGTACATGGTCTCCTTCCAGGAGCCGCCCATTGCTGCCGGCAGCACCACCTCGCGTTCTCCCTCCCTCCCTTCCGTCATCGCCACTTCTGCCTTCGGCTCCTGCTTCCAGGGAGATTCAGTTGAGGTTGGTGTCCCCGATATGACCTTCGCGTCCTCCACCATCGGTGTATTTTCATCGTCTCCTTCCTTCGAAGATGCATGCTGAATCGATGAGGACGGCGGCGGAGATTGTGGAGACGGATTCTCATCTTCAACGGCCTCTTCTTCTTCGTAGGATTCCACAGCAGAATCAGATGGTGACATTAGCGGTGTTGGTGACGGTTGAGTAGGTGAAGGAGGGCTGGTCGATTTTGATTCGACTGGAGGAGGCTGTTCAGTTTCGTTCTGAAAGAGGAAAGAAGTTGATAGTGCAATCACTGAACCCCAAAAAAGGCAAACATCAGAATCGGCTTTTGGGTGTTCAGGCTTTCTGCCAAGTTCCGTAAGAAAAATTTAAAATAAAGTGGATTGGGAGAAATCCTCTCCCATGCAACTCACCGTCCTCGACTTCACAGTTTCCTGCTCCAAGGTTTCCAAACTCTCTACCACTGATTTCGAAGGCGGTAACACCACAAACTTCGGGGCAACCCGTGGTTTCAAGAACTCGGGCACGGGGAGCTCCTTCCCCATCTGCCTCCGCATCAGAACTGCTGGCCATCGACCAAATGCTGAAGTGAGGTTTTGATATGCTGCAGCTAAACGCTGAAACTGCAGAAGCGATTCCGTGGAACCCCTGGAGGAAGTGGTTGTGAGATTAAGGAGGAACTCGGACGCAGTACAGTCAGCCCAGGCGCGGTGTGGTGCAGCCAGAGAACGGAGGGATGGGGAGGAGGAGAGCGCGAGGAGGCAGTGGGCGAGATGCCAGAGACCGCGAGATCTAGCGTCCGTGGAAGGTGGAGGTGTAGCAGCACTGGAAGAGGAGGCGGAGAAGATGTAGATTACGGAGTAAAATTCATCGCTGGTCGGTTCCACAGTAGTGAGAGAGTCGGTGCGTTTCATCGGGGCTGTTGCAGCGGCTGCAAAGAAATTTGTGGAAAGTTTACAAGTAGGCTGAGCTTTCCTTTTCTTCGCCGCGCATTCAGAGATTTCGCCTTCACCGTTGACGGTTTTGTCAACCATCATAACTCCTCTAAATATGCGAATAGCACTCGATTTGAAAAGGACTTTTAACTTCAGACGAATGAAGAGGCGTTCTCTTGGCACCAGCACGCTCAATCGGAGGAGGTAGTAAATCTGTCATGTGGTCACTCGTAGCAGTCGGTGGGCACTGTGTTTCTGCTGTGGACCATTAAACACAACCGCAGACAAAAAGCACAACAGCAGCAACAAAACTGGGTGACCTCTAGGCATCAATGAATAAGGCATCTGACGAGGTGTGACGGGGTGAGGTGAGGTAAG